GAGCCCTCCTCCTGCCCAGCACAGCCCCACTGCAGCCACACCATGGGATGCACAGAACCTCCCCGGCTGCCAAAATAACACCTCAGCGCCCGTTCTGTGCCTTCCCCCCCGGGGAGCTGCCGCCAGGGACAGAGGAGGAAACCTGCTCACGCGCAGGGTAAAATCCAGTCCCTCTCAACCAGCGCTTTCCACCCAGCGCGGATGCACCGGGCTCTTCTGTCACCCACAGCCCAGCCGCGCCACCGCTGGCACGCTCTCACGACAGCTAAGCAGCAAAGGCACAGCAGACTTCCTAACGGGATAAATGCGTTAAACAGAGCCAGGCGTCCGTCCCGTTCCTGACACCACCGCAGCCCCCTGCGTGCCGGGGGGGACGCGCGCGCGTTTGAGGTTGGCCTCGTGCCAGCGGCACAGCTCCAGCTCCCCGGCAGCGTGGGCTGCACGCACGCGTGCCTATGGACTTGTGTGTATCCACGGCAAAACAGCCTCGCCCAGGATGTGTGTCACCGGAGTGGGTCACGGTGGTCACGGTGGCACGGCTCAGTGCCACCCTCATCACCCACACGCAGCCCCTCTGGAGGACGGCTGGGTGGGTTGGGGACCTGGGGTGGTGACAGAGGGTCCTGGCCACCACACACCAGGGCCACCAGTGCCCTGAGCGTCCCCCCAGCTGCGTTTTCCACACCACAGCCTGGAGTTGGTGGAAATCTGGAGCGTGGCCACATGTCAGCCCCCGCGCTCAGGAAGCCCCGGGGCAGCATAACATCGTTAAGCGCTTACAGAACATAATGAACCTCTTGCGGAGGGCGGGTGCGGGCAGGAGGTGTGGCATGACAGCGGGGGGAACCTGTAAATCATGTCTGGAAGAAACTCATCTTGTGACACTTCATCTGACCTCGACTGCCCATGAGAAGCACAGGGACAGCCATCCCCGACTGAGCAGCACTGCGTATTCCCCCGGTGTGATCCACCAGGCTCCACAGGCCCCCGAGCGTGTTTCGCCCCCGGCTGAGGGTTCCCCAGCATCCCTGCCACCACCACGCTGTGGGACACGGGGGATTAGCCATCATCGGGGCCGGGGCCTCTGGCCTGTCTGCCCTGAAATGCTGCCTGGATGAGGGCCTGGTACCTACCTGCTTCGAGAGGAGCGGGGACATCGGAGGGCTCTGGCGCTTCGAGGTAAGCC